CATCCATTTTTGCTACCCTCCCTTTAAAATAAAGGTCCGATATCCATATTGACCTTTTTCAGTCCACAAACTCTTCCACTCCCTGGTGATTGTGTGTTTTTTATACTTTATTTCAAATCATAAAATTACAGCGACATAAAATGTTAGGCTTGTAAATGGTCACAGAAATGATCCAGTCCAGTCTTCATAATTCATAAAGAAAACACATTGAGACCTCAAAAGTAAGAGTAAGTAAGAGATTTGACATATTTGTTTTTTGGTGTGACAATGTCCTTGAGTATCAGTCTAACTAGTCCATATTTTTATAAAATAAATGGCTATAATATTTGAAAAATGTAATGTATGTTGAAACAAAACGGCACAGGTGAATTTTTGTTTGGTGTCATATTCTCCTGAGTGAAGGCATTTACTTGGCTCTTTGCAAACACACCAGTAGAATCTTATATTTAAACCGCTCAGTCATCATCATGTTAGCCAGGCACCTCCAGAGCTAGAACAGAGTTGTATTATTAGCTCCTCCCATTGCTTCCAGAGTTTTGTAATTCAAGCTGGACTGGGAAAGAGCACTCCTTTCTTCTTCTGTCCTTGGAATGATGCCATCCTTTCCTTCATTTGTTTGCTGAGGCTCCTTGCCTTATTTTCACCCCATCCTGGTGGCATTCCACCTTATTTTGCATTCAGTCATGTCACTGGGGTAAACTTCAAGACTGGCTTCTGTGTATTCTGATCTTCTGCCATTTTTTTTTCCTGGCGAAAAAGTCTACTGGTTATATGCCACAGTGTCCAATTCCAATTTAACACCTCCTTAGAGGAAAGTTATTCTTGCTTTTTCTAAATGTATTATATCTTTGCCTTAGTGTAGAATTTTAAATAAATCTTAGTGATAATAATTTTTCCTGACCTTTTCTATCCCTAATAGATTGCTAGAATTTTGTCTCAGTAGCAAAATGAAATGAACAATATATTACTTATTTAGTACTTTGTCTAGAAGGAAGCATTTTGTCTATATGGATCTTAGACCATAAACGATCAAGAACTTCTTTTCAAGAATAATTGACAGAAAACCAATTTTCAGGAGCAAGACACATCAGTTCATTATATTTTGCAAAGGCCATTTAAACAGAAACGATTGTGTAAATGTTTGGAAAAACTTACATCCTTTTTTTTTTTTGCGCGGTACACGGGCCTCGCAGTGTTGTGGCCTCCCCCGTTGCGGAGCACAGGCTCCGGACGCGCAGGCTCAGCGGCCATGGTTCACGGGCACAGCCGCTCCGCGGCATGTGGCCGGACCGGGGCACGAACCCGCATCCCCTGCATCGGCAGATGGACTCTCAACCACTGCGCCACCAGGGAAGCCCAAAACTTATATCCTTTTAAAGCAGTTGATACTTCCAATTATATTTCATTTTTCATGGACTATTATCATTACTCTCTATAGAAATTTAATTGACGTATTCAACGTGAATCCATTGTGTCAAAAATACTTCTGTCAAATAATCCTATAATATTTGTGCAACCAACAGGTTATGAACCTTAATATGCAGAATAGTATAAAAGGTAAAAAAGTAACATTTTAGATGTAAAATAATGATTAGACCCATCAGAATTCTACATTCTCTTGGGTAAAAGTACATCATGGCTTAAAAGAAAACCTGTGAATTATTACGAATCCCTCAAAATCAGAGGAAAGTTATTAGATTTCCTTTTTTTCCCTTCCCTCCCCCTCTCTCTCTCACTTCTCCCTTTCTTTCTTTCTCTCTCTCTCTCCCCCTTTCTTTCTTTCTTCCTTCCTTCCTTCCTCCCTCCCTCTCTCTTTCTCTTTCTTTCTTTTCTCTCTCTCTCTCTCCCTTTCTTTCTTCTTTCCTTCCTTCCTCCCTCCCTTTCTTTCTTTCTTTCTTTCTCTCCCTTCTTTCTTTCCCTCCTTTCTTCCTTTTCTAAGTCATGAGTTAAATACCATGCAGTTAGCAATGTATTTTAATAAAATAAAAATGTTCTTCAGAGGGATGTATACCCCTCTTTCTTTCCTTTTTTGTTGTTGTGTTGAACCTTTCTTTCCTTTCTTATTTTTAAAAGAAAAATTGAATAAGTAGTTAAGTGACTGACAATAGCCATGGAAGATATTTTGTTAGAATTTTCTTGACATTTTTGTCTTGTGAGATTCTAGTTATAGGTTCTGGTTATTGGATTAAGTTGTGTCTGGAAATAAATATTTACCTCAAAAGATTATTTTAATATTTAATACCTGAAGTTCTCTTAAACTTTTTCCATATAGTAAAGAAATAGTGGTTTTTTTTCATAGTAAGTACTTTAAAAATGTTTATTATATTATTACATGCACATATACACAGAAAAATGATACATATCATTATGATATGAAAATACACAAGACCGCAGATGTAAGAAATTTCACACACCACCTCTTCAACTAGAACATAGATCAAGAAACAAAATGGTATCAACATCTTAGAAGCTCACTCATCTTTATTCCAATCTCTATTATCCCCACCCTAAGAATTAGCCACTTCTAATAAAATCGAGCAGTTTTGCCTGCTTTTGTATATTGCATATAGATTGAGTCATTTTATATGCACTATATATTTTTTTGGGGGGGCTCTAAGCCTTTCTCTAAATAATATTTTTTGTGAGATTCATTTATGTTGTTGCATGCGGCTATAGATTATATGTTCTCAGTCTGTCTAGCATTCCACTGTGGGCATATATCACAATCTATCGATCTATTTTACTGTTGATTGGTGATTACGACTGTAATGAGATTTGAGCTAGTATGAAGAATACAATCTACTCTTAAAAAGTATGGAATTTGAGACCAAAGAGATTTGAGTCTAACTTGATGTGTGATCTGGGGTGATTTACCTAATTTCTCTTGGGGGGAATGCATAAATTAAACGAGGTAACCTTTCTAAAGTCTCTTGTACAGTGCCTGGTATGTCAAAGGAATTCCATAAGTGGTAGCTATAATTGCCCACGTGGAGAAATGCTTGATTTAAATGGCATAGATTAGCTTATTCATGACATTTTCACTTGGTAGGGAAGGAGAAAGGAAGAGAGACAAATAATGTGAATATCGTAATGGGTCTAGTCTAGTATAATGAAAAAACTTTGGTGTCAGAAAGGGTTTGTAGATATCCAGTTAGTTACTTAGATACTGTGTAACATTTACCTTCTATAAAATGAAGGAAATAATGTTCTTTACTGAACACTGTAAAGATTATAATGACATAAAATACATACCCCGTACATTTTCCTGCTCCTTTAAAACAGGAAACAACAGCCCTATTCTTAGAACATTGTTTCCAAAAAGTTAGAGCAGGTTGAAAATCAAATATCACATTGCAAATACTACTTTGAGTGACAAACATTCTGTGATGGAAATGAAGTATCTACTTTGCCTGCAGTCGTCAGTCAGATAGCCAGTTAAACAGGTGCAGATCTATTTTCTGTTATTTGTATGAAGGTAGGCATAGCTCCTAAGGTAAAGATGCATTCAGAGCTGCAGTGTAATTGGAATGACTCTAAATTACAGTGTACTGAAGGTAACCACTAAACAGAAAAGTGTGGGTCAAGTCCATTTTTGTTTTGTTTAGAGTAACAGTAGGATTAATTTAGAAAAACAACATGAGAAGTCTGTAATTCTGTGATGAATAAAATGATACTTGTGAGCAAGGGGTACAAAAGAAGGGGATAGATTGTGGAAGAATTACCATTACAGAGCTGGGTAATTTCCTTGGCAAAAGTAAGAAACTCTCCTTCCTTGGACAAGATTGTTCCACATTTGATACAAAAGTATGGAGGTCTGTCATGAGAGGTCAACTCAAAGCAAACAGAATTTTCATTGTTGTGAGCTCACAGGAGAAAGGGCAGCCAGGGACTAAATTGAGAGTGTATTCCTTTGTGTTCGTGAAGAGTTACCCATATAATTCCTTTACTTTTTATACTCATATTCTTTCTCTCCCTTGGTTGGATTTCAACAATATCTGACCACTCCCACTTCATTGTTTTTTTCATACTGGTTATAGGGAGAAACAGTTATGTAACCTGCAAATCAAACAGATGGATTTGGGAAATGAGGAAGGAGTTCTGAAATGATGACTGCTTTCTGTTGCCATTGAGGTTTATCCAATTTAACAGACACAAGATGACTCAACTGGATTCAGAGCTACAATAATTGCTGAGGAAGATAACTGTGGATACATGGGGTCATTTGGATATTATAAACAAAAGACATATGAATACTGTGAAACTACCAGCAGAAAGTCTCATAAAAACAATGAACCAGGGGCAGACCCAAGTTTCGCGGGGCTTGACATTTATATAATTTTGGGGGGCCCTTTATACAAAATTAAGTACAAAAATGAATACTGAAATGAAAAAAGTCACAATAAGTTACTGGAACTTTGGAGACTGAGATCCTTTTTTCTCTGGCAACTGCCAGAAATTCTCACCCAGAAGTGTTTGCTGATTGCAACCTCACCTTTGCTTTCCCCTCCAACACTGAAACTCACAACAACCCCCCGGGTGCACAGGGGTACTTGCAAATGAGGCCTGGCCATTAAGCTTCGCTGGTAGCATCCTCTGCCTACAAGAATTTTCCGCTGTAGCTTACTTTATCTTGTTTGAGAAGCCTAAAATTCCCGTGAAACATGACAGAAACTTTCCTTCTCATGCTTGCCATTTCATTGTAAGAACTAAAACCTCGCACACCTATCCCCTATCTGGACCTCGGCCGCGCAACTTGTATCAGTCCTAGGTTTTACGGGTACCGGGATGGTGTCCAACTGGGCCTCGGGCTACTCACCACGCTGCACGCCCACAGCCGGAGCCTGCGGCGACCGCACTCCGCTTGCGGCTAGGGGCTGGGGGCGGGCAGCGCGCCGGAGGGCGAGCCCGGGCCGCGCCTCCAGCTGATTGGCCGGGCCCGGACCCTGGGGGCGGGCTCTCCCCCCCAGCTCGCCAGGCCCGGGGTGGCTATATTGGCACCGTTCCTGCTAGGTCGGGTCGCTTCCTCGCGCTGGGCTGGACGCAAGGAGAGGGCTTCTGCGGGCTGTGCGGGCGCAGGAAGCGGAGCGAGGCTGCCGACTGCGAGCCGGAGGCTGCGGGGCTGCAGTGCGATGAAGCAGTGGCTCAGCGAGCGGAGGCTGGCGGTGTGGCGCGACGGGCCGGCCCGGGGCCGGGGCTGCTGCTCCGGAGGCTGCTGAGGCGCCGCGGCTGCCGGCGCGGAGAGCGGCAGGCGAGAGGGAGGAGAGGCAGCGGAGCGCGGGGAAGCCGGCGGGGCGGCAGGCGTCTCTGGTTGGCCTCCCCGGTCGGGATCCCCCCGGTGGAACCATGCGGGTGGCCAAGTGGCTGACGGGGCTGCTCTACCAGCTGTCGCTCTTCATCACCAGGTCTTGGGAAGTTCACTTCCACCCCAGGCAGGGTAAGGTCACCGCGGGGCGCCTTCAGCAGCGTGGTGGGGCGCGTGCCCGAGTGGGACGGGCGGACGGAGGCGGGGGGAGCGGTTCTGCCCGCTGGGGGACCCTGGCCCAGCCGGGACTCTCGGGACTCCGGGATCAGTCAGCCCCAAGCATCCCCGGAGGTTGCGGCTGCGCGGTGTTTCGAGGAATCGCGCGCGGGGCACACGTTTCCCTCCGGGGACCACGCGGCGGGAACGCGTGGAGCAGGGTGGCGCGGGCGCCCGCGGGGCACGAGTTGGCGGCGGCAGGGGGGCGAAGAGGGGCGCGAGAAGGAGGTGCTGCTGAGGGCCCTGAGCGTCAGGGTCCCTGCTTGGGGAGGGTGGAGCGAATCGGGGTTGTGGGAAAGCAGGCAGGCACACTCACAGAGCGCACGTGTGTGTGCGTGCGCGCGCGCTCGCCAGCGTGTGTTCTTTCGTCGCGCCCCGCCGGGGGTATGGGGACCTGGGGCCTCGGCTCTCTGGCTGGGACGTTTGGTTGAAGAAGTTCGGCGCTGGGGAGTTGGAAACGGGTAGAGGCTCAACGGCCTTTTCGCTGTGGTTGCAGAAGCCTTGGTGAGGACACTGGCCTCCTACGAAGTGGTGACCCCCGCGCGGGTCAATGAGTTCGGCGAAGTGTTCCCAAAGAGCCACCACTTCAGCCGGAGGAAGCGCAGCGCCGAGGCGCTGGAGCCCACGCCGTTCAGGACCCACTACCGAATCCGCGCCTACGGCCAGGTCTTCCAGCTGAACCTGAGCGCCGACGCGGCCTTCCTGGCTGCCGGTTACACCGAGGTGCACTTGGGAGCCCCTGCGCTCCGGGCTGAGGAGCGCCGCACGGCGCCCCCAGACCTGCGCCACTGCTTCTACCGCGGCCAGGTCAATGCTCGGGAGGATCACACAGCCGTCTTCAGCCTTTGTGGAGGCTTGGTAAGCGCGCTCGGGTCCCTTGGCATTTTCTTGGGATCCATCCTTGCTTGTTCAGGGAGCCGGGCATTGACTTTTCCCGAATGGGCGGTTGGTTGACCCAAGAGATCAGAGTGGGCCACCAGAGGGATTAACACCTAGATGAACCCAAGCCAGAGGCCACTCCTTTCTTGCAGTGGGGAGAAGGGTTTGGAGGATCAGCATGTCTCTCCCTGCTGGGCAAAACTGACCCTTCTGTGCAAAGCTGCGAGAAAGAGTGTCAGATGCTGAGCTAGTCAGGGAGGTGGGGAGTGGCTTTCTGCTACACAGGAAGTGTGGTTTCCAGCAGGACAACAGCCTCCTTCATTCAGACACACCCATTCTGGACCATCTATTAAGGCAGACTCCTCTGAAGTTACTTTTATTCCTTGAATGAAGAATGATAGAATGAATAGAAAATGAATAAATGAAAAGGTTTGAAAACAAAGAGTTTTTGTTTGTTTTTTTGTTTTGTTTTTTTTTGCTACTATGGGGATGGCCATTAATCTGTGAAGTACAAGATGGGGAAAAGGTTGAATATGCCAGTTTAAAATGCACTGCACTTAAAAATGTAGAGCATCTACAAAGATCTGGTGCCAGCAAATGAGAAATGATCATTAGAGTGACAAGAGTAAAAGATGTGGATTTTGTAAAAACCTCATTGCGGAGAGAGGAAATGAAATAAAATATTGGGTTCTATGTGTTTTATTTGTTTATCTCCCTCTAAAACAGAGGTTCTAAACGTTTTTTTTTTTTTTTTGCCATCAACTTTTCAGCATTCTAGGGGAAACCCAGGGCCTCCTCTCAGCATAATTTAAATGTGTAAAATAGCATACATGTTATTTAATTGGCTTCCTTTTAAGTACTAACAGTAATCAAATGTTACAAGTATTAGAATTTGTGGTGTCATAATACATCCTTCTTTATTAATGCGTTAAATAATATCTATTGGGGAGGGGACTACTTACTTCTATACTTTTGTAGTGGTAATGAGAATAAACAATCCGGATAGTTTTGTACTACATTACATTAGAGTTGAAGTAGCTATTATTTTATTGCTGACAAAGTCACAATGTCTGTGGTTTTACCTACAATCATAATTGAAGGAAATGTTATGTATCAGAGGTTAGGGAAAATAAAGATGTCTTTCTCATCCAAGTTCATGGAACCTCTGGTTGAGAACACTTACATTAAAACATATATGAACTCACTTTATCATTAACTCCTCTGATACATACGTGTTCAAGAAGAAACAACTAAGAATTTGGCTACAGGATTCTTTCCAAGTATTCTAGCTTTTGTTGGGCAAATTTTAGATGAGTTTCAGAACACCAACATTGTTTACTCTTTGATGAAGTAGAAAATTGATAACAGTTCTTTCTAGGCCAAATGTAATACTTCCTTTCAGGGTAATTGGTATAAGATGTCTTCCTGGGTGTGAGTATTGGTCATTACTAAGTAGATTTGGAACACCTCTTTGTTCTTTTTTCTGCTATTATCTTGATATATATATGTACGTATACATATATATATATACGCCTTGGACAGTTTTCAGCTGTAGATAAGTGTAAAATGCAACATCAGAATGGCAGAAACACACTAATATTTACACAGCCATCTACACATCAAAGGAAAGAAAAATACTCTCTTTTCTAGAACCTTTCAAAATGATTAGTTTGTCTAGAAAATTCTAGATTTACTACCACAAATTTGTCATGGTCAGTATGTTTTCTTGATTTAGTATTTAAGGCATGGAAAAAATTCCAGATGGGAAGCATTATTAGGAGTGATGTTTCTGCTCATGTTGATTCATAATTTTTGTGTAGTTCAAATTATTATTCAATATCTCCTTTTTGAAATCAAAAAACAGTTGGAAATGTTTTAAAGTCATAACAGGAGTTCATCCTTTTCCTGTCACTGTGTCAATTTGGATATAATTGTTTAGTTATCATGCATTATTAATTTGATTTATGTATGTACTTTGCTTTTGGTGGACTTACTGATATTATCAGAGTTTGATTTAACATCTAAAAACATATTTTCATACCTATGTAACTCAGCTTTATCTCCATTTCTCTGTATGTGTAGGGCTGTGTTGAGGATATCAGTCACAGCAGAGATAGAAAGTTTCCAGTAATACAGCACATAACTAGAGGTATCAGGATCTAAAAATCTTTTAGAAGTATGATCAGGACCCATTATAAGTCTAAATCACTGATGAGATTAGTGACATTTCTTTGATTTTTCTCCCTTGTGATATTAGCACTATAACGGATATTAGCTGTATATTTATGATTTTTTTTAATTTCTACCTTGACTCTATCCTGAGCACTCTTTAGAATAATAGTTTCATCAAATGGTGGAACTTCTGGTAGGTTTTAGAGTCCATTTATTATTATATCAGATTCCTGTTTTTTAGTCTCAGATTAATCTTTAGATCCAGATAAAGTTGTGTTACCCACAACCTGGACCAGCTGAGTTTTTGCAGATCCTCCTCGATACAATGCCCAAGATGTCAGTAATGCTCACTTCCAGCCCTGCTCCTACTGCTTCCCAGCTCATCTTTGTGACTTTGCATGTGTGCGCCTGTGATGATTCAGCTTTGATTTTTGTCAGTCCATTAAACACTAAAGTTGAGATTTACTGAAGGATTTTTAGAGCCAGTCCTATTGAAGTTCTCTTTTGCTAGTTGCTCTTTGCTTTTAGTTTGCTTTTAATCGTGAATGGATGTTGTACTTAATCAGATGCTTTTCCTGAATATATTGAATGAGTGTGTGACTTCCTCATTTTTTTTCTGCTAATGTTCATTGTCATGGCTGGATTCAAGCAAATGTTGACCATTGATGAAAACTGACCTCATACAGGGCAGTAAAGTGTTCTGAGGCCTCTGTATTGTTTGGGAGGAAGGTGGGGAAATCATGCTGTCCTCCAGTTCCTCTAGCCTCCGATGTCCTTTGTGCCTCAGCCTCCTTGCATTTTTTTGGCACCAGCCGCTGAATTCTGGGCCTGAGAACTTGTGGCTTTTCTTTGCTCAGTTGGGGCTCACTGACTCTTTCCTACCTGGGCTCTCTGTTGCTGCGTATCCCTCTGAGTTCTGGATGCAACACCTAGTTGGCTTCTTGTCTGGCTGCTGCATGTGCAGCCTTCAACACAGGGTCACTTAGCTCCTGCTGCAGTGCTCTCTCCACATAAGGTGGTTTGCTGATGCTAGTGGTAATCTTCCAGACCCCTCTAAGGCTCTGAGACCCTTCATGGCATATGAAAGTCTAGGGGGACTTGATCCCTCCCTTCGCCAAACTCTGCCACACCTCTATTTCAGTGAGTGCATGTGTGTGTGGGGGGGGCGGGGCTTGTAGAGGTCCGTCCCTTGAGTCCCACATAGCATGCTAAAGCACTTCTCTTGGCAGTCCTCCTAAACTATGTAACGTGCTTTCTGCCTCCAGGGCCTTAAACCCCCAGTGGAGAAGTCAGTGCACATACATCTTCCCAGCCGTATCCATTGCCTCCATCGTTCTTTTCTTCCTGGAATCCACTGAGTTCGCCTCTCATATCTCATTCATTTGAGCTGTTCCCCTTCCATCTTCCCATTTGAGGTAGCATCTACCTTTCCTTTCTCTGGTGGCTACTGAGGAATGTGACTTTTAAAGGAAGGGAATACAAACCAAGTTACTACTTTCCAAATATCTCTGTACATACAACCATTTAAAAAAATTGACATCACAACATACTTATTGATTTCGTTCAGTTGCTAGTGTTGCATTAACCTCAAACATATAAACTAACGTTTTCTTTTAATTTCTACACAGCTACTTTTTTTCCCCACTTCTACAAGTCTTAGTATTTACGTGTTTTTCTCTTTCACTAAACCACTGAACCATGACTTGTATTGTTTAGTTTTCTTAAGTGTTTTGGGCCCAAGAACCAGAGGGGCTATGAGTCTGCCAGAAATTTTCTTTGTTTCCTGTGGGTATAACTTTTGCTTTTCTTTTTTTTTTTCTTTCTTTCTTTTTTTTCTTTTTGCGGTACGCGGGCCTCTCACTGTTGTGGCCTCTCGCGTTTTGGAGCACAGGCTCCGGACGCGCAGGCTCAGCGGCCATGGCTCACGGGCCCAGCCACTCCGCGGCATGTGGGATCTTCCCGGACCGGGGCACGAACCCGTGTTCCCTGCATTGGCAGGCGGACTCTCAACCACTGCGCCAGCAGGGAAGCCCCGAGTATATAAATTTTTATATGCCAAATATCTTTTTTTTTTTTTTTTTTTTTGCGGTACGCAGGCCTCTCACTGCTGTGGCCTCTCCCGTTGCGGAGCACAGGCTCCAGACGCGCAGGCTCAGCGGCCATGGCTCACAGGCCAGCCGCTCCGCGCCATGTGGGATCTTCCTGGTCCGGGGCATGAACCCGTGTCCCCTGCATCGGCAGGCGGCCTCTCAACCACTGCGCCACCAGGGAAGCCCTACTTTTGCTTTTCTAATCTTTCTCTGTAACTTTTCTTTCTTCTAAGTGTAAGTATTTATCACATAATTCAAACATTTCTGATTATTTATTTTGACATTTCTAAAATCTATAGTAGATATGAAAATAGAGCCAAATCATAAATTTACCTATATGTAATATAATGGCTAATCAAACTCTGTTTTTAGTTCATTGGTAAAGTCACAGAATATATAGTTATCAGGCGTTAATATCTCTTGATTCAACTCTAAACTTTGTTTTCATGGCCATATTATCTATTTTCTCATGATGTTGATACACTCTTGCCAAAGTAGAGGTCAGTATCCATAAGTTGTAATATTTGGGGCATATCCTTGTCAGAATGGCATATGTAAATTGTACAGAGGCTATTCCCAACAACCCCTGTCGCTCTACCAGCTCTCTTACATTACCTGGTTGGGTTCCCTTCTTCCAAAGGCCCTCAGGGACTAACCCGACCGCCTAGACAATTAGCTTCACTGTTTCTTCGTGGGATTTGAATCAATGCAGTCTTT